CCCTCCTCCTCCTCCTCCTTTCCCCTGCCATTATTAACGGACAAAACTTCGATGATTGCTTGGGAATTCGACACGCGATCATTCGAGACGCGATCATTTCCCTCCGAAAAAAAACATCTGCCCTCCTCCTTGTTTATTATGGTTTTTAATCGGCCGCCACGTACCCGATACGTAATTTATGACGCTGTGGATCGCGCGTCGAAAGTGAATCCGGAACTCGGTGTATGTAATTGAGATAAAAGGTGGGGAGGGGAGGGGAGAGGGGGAGAAGGAAGCGTCGAAACGGCGGGAAAATTGATTCGAATTGCTCTTAATACGTGTTTTGCTACACGTAGCGACTTTTAGAAAGGGGGTTATTCGTGCACTTCGTACTTTGGCCACGTTAAGCTCGATTAACGCGAAGGGTTGTAATTAGACTGTAATTTGCGTTTCGCGCAAATTTGTATATATATATATTTTTTTTTTGTGAAAATATGTATTTTTCAGGTATTTTCGGGATTATGTTTTTTGAGTAATGGGATTTTATAAGCGAGATAGGATTAGCTTGATCTTGATAGATATTTTCGTATCTCGAAGTAAACGAAATCTTTTAACGATAAATGAATATTTATGATGAATATTGATTAAGTTCAATTTTTTTGGGAATAAGAAATGATAAAATGATCGATCAAATGCATCTCTATTAAGCAAAATTCGTGCAGAGATTTTTCATTTACTTTTCGAATAAAAAAATTTCTTATTGAACTGATTGTAACTTTATCTCTTAAAAAGAAAATTATGATAAAATAATAATAATCTCTTGAAAATATTTATATATAATTATGAAACAAAAATAAATTTAGTAATAATGAATGCTGTAGAATCCAATTTCTTAAGAACTTAATCACCTCCTATTCTTTAAAATCTAAAGATAGATTTAAATTTTTAACCTTTTCTTTTTTTTTATATATAAAAATAAATAATTCTCTTTACTGTTTTTAAATAAATAAATAAATAAAAACTACATAATATAAATACTGCGTCTTTAAAAAAAAGAAATATCTAATTTACCAATTTACGTAAGATGCATAATATAACTATAAGAAAACAAAATATTTCGAAGACTGTTACAAACGATAATTTACAATTTTCCACGATTCCGATCTCGTGGATCGAAACAACTGGAAGAATGTCCCAAATTACCCTCATTAATAACACGGAGGAAACGTTTAAAATTAACCTTTCGTGCATTCAATCATTCTCATCGCATCAACAACGGGAAAGAAGTGATCAAAGACGATTTGCAAGGATGTTCCAAAAAACGCGAAACTCTCTTTCCGAGAGTCGAGAATTTATCTCTTGTCGATGGCCCAACCTTTTTTGGACGGGAAGAATCGGGCCTTCCCCCCTCCCCCCTCCCCCCTCCTCCTTTCGATGGCCTCGCAAATTACAGGATCGGGAAATTATAGGACACCCTATATAGCAAGTTGCGAAACGATCCACGCGAAACGTTTTTCAGGCGGAGAGGATTGATGGGTCCACGTGTCGTGAAAGTAGCGAATCAGTGATCCATCGAAATTAGGTTATCACCGGAATCGTGTATTTTTTTTTTTTTTTCCCCCGCGTTTAATAATTGCCGGAATTGATTTAACATGGATCCAGAACACGAAAGGTACACGTTAATATGTAATACCGTTAAAAATTTATCTTAAATGATTCCTTTTCTCGACAGGATACAATTTTAATTACGGATAAAAATGTAACGCAAGTTGATTTATATCAAGGCTTTTTGGTAGTTGGTTGCGTAGATATCGTGATATCATGTATCACGATCCGTATGTTAAAATAATTTTAATATTCAATGTTACAAATGTAATTGTATCAATGGTTGTATCAGAGTTGTTGATAGTCAGGATATCGTGATATTATCGTTGAATGAGATTGAAATGATCGAAGAATTCTTAAGAAAAATAGAAAATTTCTTTATCTACAACATATCATAACTCTGATTATATGGTAATATTTTTAATATTTATGTATATTAGATAAAGATGAATATTCTCTTAAAGATATATATATATATATCAATTGATTGAAGAAAAATTGAAAATCTTCAAATATATTTCTTCATACTTTCTTTTGAACATAAATGTTGACAAGAGTTTTCCTACGAATGCTTAAACAATTAATAATCGACAATAATTCCATAAAAGTGGTTTAATTTCTTCTGCGTGTCCCTTTTCTTTTAAAAAATGCTTAATAAACGGCGATCGATATTTCATGTATCTTTACTTCGAAATTATAAATTAAAACGGCGTTTTTTTAATCAAGCTGTCGCTGAAATTTGTCAAAGAATTGATAACTGTGATTTAAGTGACAAATTATTCCATTAAATTTTCGCTGATCTTCTTTATATATTTTCTTCAAACTCTTATACTACCATTAAATAAGTTCAACTTCAAAATTCATTTTAATCTTAAAGAATCAATAAATAATGTTAAAAACTTATTATCCTATTTATCTACTAATTATTTATAACTCTTTTGACAAAAAAAAAAGTATTGATCACCTTCCAATCAATTCTTTATTTTATAAAATTGAGATTATATGCAAACTATATTTATAATAATATTTAATATACCAAAATAGAAACATTCGTATACTTTTCTTAATCAAATTAGATATTACAATATATTTCAACATGCAATTACTTTTTATTATTTGAAATAAAATTAAACTTGTTTTGAAAATAATACGAATAAGATTTTCTCAAAAGAAATTAGATTATACCAAATCCTTTTAAATACTTTGATAATTAATAAACGATTAAAAATATACATATACAATAATTTCAAAGCAGTTATTATCAACTATTAATTATCTCTACTTATTCTTTTACTTTTATACTAATATAAAATTTTTTAATATTATAATATTTTTTAATACTATTTTTAAAAATAATATTTTTACAATGGATCTAAAAATATTAACTTGATATAAGTAATTTGAATATTATTGAATTACAATAAAATAAATGATAAGGATGAAGGTTAGGAGTGATAAAAACCAGAATTCAAATGATTATAATTGAAACAATGTATGTTTATTAATTTCTGCATGACGTGTAATCGATTTTTAAACAAAAACACCGTATATTTCATTATGTCTAAAAAAAAAAAAAA